ACATAGGATATTATGACAGAAATTTTCATCATAACCAAGAATAGTAATGCATCGAAACTATCAATAAAGAAACTGTGTCATCCTTGCTAAGCAAAGAGCTGGAAATAATAGAATATGTGATAAAAAATATTTAGAAATAGGAAGAACATTCTTCACTAACATACGTAAGTGAAACTGTCACATAATATCATTTGAAAATGAGACATGAATGGTGTCAATGCTAGATAATTAGATAATCGAAAAGGTTGCGTATGCAGTATAATCAATCAGCAAGATAGATAAATATTGAACATTTTTAAGGATCATACTTTCTCTACCATAAATACCGTTTTGTGTGATAAAGTCATGGATAAGAACATTTGCCATAGCGTGAACAACATAATGTTTCCACTATTATTGATTTGTACCTTAGGTCTTTTACAGATGAACGTATAAAAGCAAAAACCAACAGTGTCACACGTTCACGACACTGACGATAAACAAAAGTACATATCAATAATATATACTCTCGCAAATTGTGCAGCTCTTTTGAATAGAAAAAAGACATATTACACGAATACTGAAGCGATCAACAAAGATTAATATTTAATACAAAATAAATCAAACATATGGAAATCTTGATTGACGACAAAGTACTGTAAAGGTAGTCTTTACCTTTCAAATACAAACAATAACACATTGTACACAATAGTTTGCACTACAATTATATCAGTTGAAATATTGGTTTATGTTGAATGATATGTTGGAAATTTGCAAACGAGGGTACAAAAGTTGCAAAGACAAACATCATACCCTATAGTTGCTGTCTTATGTTTTTTCTTTTAGATTTTTTTTTACGACGTTAAATGTGGTTGGTTTTTACCAACAACGTCATTTACTCTATTATTATTCTTTTCAATTCTGCTGCTTGTGACGGACATGTTGATAATATGAATGAAGCAACAATCAAAAAACATTTTTACTTGCCAAATATATGATTATTAGTCCTGAATTTCCACATTTAAAAAACTCGATTACCGAGAAGAGTGCCAATTGCGTCTTTACGGCAATTAGCAAAGATATTGATAATAAATATGATTGAAAAACATTATGAAATCGATTTCGAACAAGATACGATCCTATTCTGTGTTTCTACATCGATTAGTACAACTATGTGCCGTAATTTGAAAAAAACACAAAGTTCTGATTTAAAAAAGATGTTGTAAAACTTCTGCAAACCTGTTCTGAATTGTTCGAAAAATCAATAAATATTTTTGTCTCACCAATTCTCAACTTAATCGTTAGTATATTCAAAAGAAAAATATATATAAAATAGGTTTTAATAAAATATAAGGGCGCTTTGTTCATGCATTTATCGTTAAACATTTCACCTTTTTGTAAGTTTTTGTCTTGTGAAAAACTTCATTATATTTCGATTATAGAGTTTTTGTGTCTCTGTAATAATATGTCTATATAAATAAATAGTGATTAGAACCGAATTGAAAGATTACATATTGAATTCATATAAAGAAATTTCTTCCAATTAATTACGAAAAAGATTAGTTCCCACACGCAGAGCCCTTCTCTGATGTAATGACACCCGCATCTATATATAATAATTTTAGTAAAATATTTGAAAATACAAGATAATTTTCTTAATGCTTTATTTCTTTTCTGTTTATTTGCTTCTTCCAAAAAACAATCTTCAGATATAATTTCGTCATACTCTTCCTGTATACACACGTGCATAACTAAAATTATATTTATAGT